ATATTGGTACAATTTAAGTCGTAATTTATATTTTATATTAATCTAAATCTGCAGTATAACGTCACTTTAGTCTTGAAATAAATATGCTCTAGTACACCCCATACCCCCCTTTAGACGCACCCCTGTTGTTGCAGGTATTGCTGCCATATAAAGTAGGACAGCTGCTGTCAGCCTTCTGCAAGCTGCCTTATAAACATACCAGGTTCAGTCAGTCTGCACTCGTACGCTTTTTAACTTCTGTAGCTTTACTGTAGATTTTCATTGTAGCACCGCTGTTTGTTTTACACAAAGTTTGCATTTCTTTACATTGGAGTTTGCTGATCAGCTCGTACGTTTTTGTTTTGTTTGTTTTTTTAAATACCAATTATAGAATTTTCTTACCTAATCTAGTTTGACATATCAGGCCCAACAAAAACAAGCGATATAAAAAGGTATAAATCAATACAGTTCAAGCCATTAACATTGTGAAGCTTTTGTGGAAACCAAATTAAACAGCTTATCCAAACCAATCCCCATCCCAAAGTCTAACCTAATATTTAAAAATAAAATAAAAATAAAATAAAAATGTGATACTCAAAATTAGCCAGGTGCAAATGTTTTCAAGGAATTAAAATAAATGATAAAAGGCTGCTGCATCTATAAAACCTCACTAGCATACCCTCTGAGTCTGAATTGGATCTTTCAGCCAAAGTGATGTAGCTGGAGGGTGAACAGCTTTCGAGGAACACTAAATTCTATGATGTGCCAACAAAAAGTCCAGTATGATTGAAGTGTAAGGCAGACGAGTTAAATCACAGAGAGGTAATACATCTGCCACACAGGTCGAGGTTGTCAGAATATACTTTAGGTAGTCTTGATTTTGACAAATACAATCTACAGGGTGGGCCATTTATATGGACACACCGTAATAACATGGAATGGTTGGTGATATTAAAGTCCTGTTTGTGGCACATTAGTATATGTGAGAGGGCAAACTCCTCAAGATGGGTGGTGACCATGGTGGCCATTTAGAAGTCGGCCATCTTGGATAGAACTTTCTCTCCCCCTCCCCCCCATAGGAAGAGGGCCATGTGACACCCACCCTGTATTTACCGTCTTAAACAAAGTAAGGAAGAGTCTTGCACATGAGGATGAGGTATGAATACTATCAATTACTTTTTCCAAGTAATCTTCCCCAAATTTAAGACCCAGTTCCTTTTCTCAACTGGAAGTGATCTTTTTGGTTGAGTAATTGTCCAGTGCAGTAATGAAAGTATATATTCATGAGATAAGAGCCTTACTGTGAGACTTCAACTCATATAAGTCCTCCCACAAATGCTTGGGGGGCTGACATGGAAACTCTGGGGAAGCAGAGGATGCAGTGTGTCTAATTTGAAAACAGCTGAATAAATATGAGGGCAAATTGTACAAAAGACATATCACTAAAAACTGAGAAAACTTGTCTTTCAAAATAAATAAATAAATAAATAAATAAATAACAATGAAAACATTGACTCCTTTTCTTGCACATATATGAAAGGAAGAGGGGGGCTGATTATTACAGATTGGGGTCAGAGCAGAGGCAGAGACAAAATTAAGGTGGCACTGGAATTGATACCAAATTTAAAATAAATAAATAAATAAATAAAATTTTTCCACGGAGGCAATTACAACAGGGTTATCACAACAAGGGATTAAACTTGATATGCACTCCTAAATACTTAAAGCCAGAAAAAGTTAGACGGAAAGATAGCTCCGTTTTGTCTAAGCTCCTGTGTATCAAGGTTTATGGGAGAAAGAGACAAAATGTTAAAGTGATTCCATAATAGCAGATAGGTGAGTCGTTGGATTTGTAACATAATAATAATAAATCATCTGCATATATAGCAATCCTGTGCACTATGCCACAGGATTGCACTACACCACTACAAAGACGTTCTGAGAGGTGGCTGAGAGAGGCTCTACTGATAAAGTGAAAAGTAAAGGTGAGGGTGGGAAAGCCTGCCGTGTAACAAGTTTTAAGTAAAAGAATCTCAGTCTTAGTACAAAACTGATGCTAATGGGGTGATGCTGATACTCTTCACCAAATCAATAAAAAAAGGAGTGTATGAAAAGCAGGCTAGATTTAGTATCATGATTAAAGAAATAAATGAAAAATAAAACAAATACAAAAAGCTAAACAAAAACTGAGGAGTACCTCTCACCCCCACCCACTAGGCCCCATTCCCCCCAAAAAACAACAACTTCAACTTTCTAACCCAAACTCCTGCTACACAGTAATAGCAGCTCCACAGAACCATAACTTAAGTACTAAATAGATGTCCCAGTGTAAATAAAACATCTCAATGAACATTAGTTTAAAACCATAATCATGTACCGCATTGTCTAACTTAGAGGACAAGTTCACAAAGGATGACTTAAAGTCCACTAGCACTGCAGCTTTATGCCCAATTTGAGTAATCAATGCAGAAACCATAATAATTGATTGTTATTTTCTATAATAAAATGAGGCTGCAGCATAAATGTTTCACAGCCTATGATGTACAAAGATGATCAGACATCAGATAGTAGAAAGGGTCAGAACTGTCAACAACAGTTACCCCTGAATGCAACAAATTGTCAAACTAAGCAACTGGAAATGCTCACGTTTCCATCAGGAATCTCATAAAGTACACAAAAATACAGAATTAATTGTCCTTCAATAAGATACACTACACAGGGTGAAAGTTTAGGTTTCCATTCTTGGTTTGGTCCGTGCTTTAGGATTCAACAAGCAAAGCAGACTTTAAGTACTGTTTTTTGCTGAAGAAGAACTTTACTGCTGCCATTTTGTAGCAGAAGCTGCTACACCATACAGATCAAAGGCTTCAGACTGGTTTAGAGCCGTTTTATAAAAGGAAGCAGGAAGTGATGTGCCTGTTGTCTGTACAGTTTTGCCTTCAGTCACTCACCTTCCTGCGTGATGCAGATGGAGCCACTGCCCATCCCCACTCTCAGTGCATCCACTCCTGCATCAATCAGATTCTTGGCCTGAGCTGCAGTCACGACTGCCACAGACCGGGTGAGACACAGAGGAGAAAAAACAAAACAAAAAAAAACAAAAAACAGTAATTTTCACCACAAGCAACAGATCAATGAGCATCAAATACAATCAAAGACATGAGTGTTCAACACTCAAGCCCACTGGCTGTGAACAAATGTAGGATGTGTCGCTCCCCCTTTGCACGATACGCCTTTATCATGGACCATTCTGACAAGTGCATAGAAAACAGCATCCATTCTATAGTGATTAAAGAAAATACTTTCTCTGAATATTTTACATATGAAAATATTAGTGTGTGTAAAGTGAAGTTACCATTGCCACCGATGACCTGCAGGTTGGGGTACTTTTCTTTAATATATTTGATCATATTGATCTGGAAGATCGAGTTGCCCTGAGATGAGTCCTGGAGGTAGAGAGATGAAACATAAAATGATCTTCCCATTCAAAGACATGAAGACTCACCCAGATTGAAGATAACCCCTTAACAACAAAAAACTGTGTATTCTAAACAATAATTGGCAGGTCTACTCTGTCCTTCATCCAAGCGACTGCATTTTCTTTTCAGATTCCATGGTTATGCACACAGTTTCATTAAGTGGTTTTAGTTAAATATTTGTCAGTGGACCAAGGCAGGTCTCTTACTTGCATGACAAAACCAAAAATTGGTCCCAGTTTAAGCCCCGTCCCCAGTTTCAACACGACTTAATTTACCCCCAAACTCTGCACCTGAAACATTCCACGCCTTTAAAAAGCACATTAGAAGTCCTTACTAGTACAACCGCATCCACTCCGCTCTGCACCAACAGGTCCAGTCGGTACTTGTCGTCATCGTGTGTGCCGATGGCTGCACCACACAGCAGCTGTTTCCGAGAATCTTTGGAAGCTAAGGGGAAGTCTCTATTCTTCTTCAAGTCTGTGCGAGCGATGATGGATACCAGGGACCCCTCTTCATTCACTATGGGCAATTTACCTGCAGGAGGAACCAAAGGCATGAAAGCATGCTCATGCTGTGCACTTAGAAGCAGCTTACCCTGTTCCTTGGTACATTTTTCCCCATCATAGGGCTTCGTGATAATAGCCAAAATTATGATCACGATTATTCAGATTTTTGCGCCAAAAACTTTTATTGCACTGTAATGTAAACAGAGCACTGCTTCAACATCAACACAACAGTGTTGTGCTACATTCCAACTAATGTACAAATCATTACAGAAAAATAAAACTGATCCTCATCAACTAAAGTCATGGCATCTCTTGGAAGAAAAATAAATCATTTTATAAACTTTACACAAAAAACAGAATACTGCTGTCACTTTTACACTGCATTATATTCCTATTAAAAATCTTTGCAAAACAATAAGACGTTTATCCATCTCACCTAAAGACAAAATAGTCTCATTCTACTCACTGTACCAGCATGACATATGTGAATAAAATTTAGCAAAGAGAGCCCAACAGATACAAGATTTTTAAGAGCAATAACAATATTTCTACTCTATATTTGGCGGTTTAAAAATCCAACATTGGCTGATTTTGTTTTTCCCCTTTCAGACACATGAAACTGATTCCCATAACAATTATTATGTGTAGTTATGATCATAATTTATCCTTACTGAGAAAATAATGACAAAGCAGTTTAACAATGGTCTTGTTTTACTGTCACTACAAGTCATGGGTTACTCATTTACACTCTGCAAAATTCTGCTTAGATCAGCTTGTTCTTAGGTGCCCCCAACAAGGACGTTACAAAGTGCCCTCTGGTGGACAAATAGTGCAACATTAACATTAACATGGCGGAAAGTTGTTTTTTAGTTTTTACAATTTCATCTATCAGCCAGCTGATATATCGGTGGAGCTCTAGCAGAACACAGTGGCTGTGAGATCCCATTTGTTCCCCCTTCCACAGTTTGTTTACAGTGCAGCTCTATCCCACATTGAGAAAATAATTGCATGAGAGGATAACATATCTTTTGTCCCCTACACTGACTAGACGATGCAGTTGTATTGGTGATTTCAGTGAGTCTTTGTAACCCGGATAGATGTGCTGATGGACTCCTCAGGTTCACCTTTTATGGATGTCTGCACTGACACTGGATAACGTGAATCATCCAGTGTTAGCTTAGACAATGCATTTTTTCCCCCTCTGCCTTCATGAAGTCATTTTACCACAGTTAGTAGAGCAGGACGATATGACCAAAATTATTTATCACCATATACATGTGAAAATTTGCGATAACGATATAACTGACGATATAATTGACACTAGACAAAATACTTTACAACTCCACAACTTTATTAGTGCAAAAAAAAAAAAATCAAATCAAAGAATTGATTTTAAGTGTGCCGTATTTTTAAAAAAAAAAACCACGGTAATAACGACAGCCCGCTAGCATGCTCTACCAAAAATAGTGCTTTGTTGTGTATCTGACGGATGAAAGCTAAACCAGTTCCACACCACTGAAGCTGCAGCATTTTTACAAACCAATTCTGGTTCATCTGTTTCATTCAACGATCCGCTTTCGCCCTTCTCATTCTCCGTCGCCGCCATGCTTTTTCCGCCGTGTGCGTATGAAATCAAAGGCACTGCGCATGCACGTTTTACCCATATTCTATCGCGATATTTCATTTTCTTATCATTGCCCAACATTACACCGGTATTACCGTGAACGGTATGATATTGCCCAGCCCTAACAGTTAGTGAAGTGTTTTCAGGTGGTTGAAGAAGTTAGTTTGTTGCTTTGCAGATCGCACTAAATCTAAAGTATTTCCAAACAATGGATGAAGATCTGTTTAGAATAACAACCTCTTTGCCTTTTGCTGTGCCAGACTTTTGCTATTTGTTTTGACTGTTTGATATCTGTTGTTTATCTGTCTTTGTACTGTTTCTCATTCAGAGTACATCCAGGAAACTTTAAGCTGCAGCATGCAGGAAACAGCTGTGACTGGTATGTGCTGGCACACCGTCAGGCAGTGATTTAGGGACTGCTTTGTGTTCAACCAGCAGGGCACACATTCACATTTAACAGTCAATCATGTTCCCGCAATTGTGGAAAGCCAAAATTATGATCAAGGACAAAATCTGATCAACTGGCCCAACTTAATCATCATATTATCAGGTCTTACACGAAACAACCTACACACCTTTCTTACTCCTCTGGAGGATTTCATTGGCTTCTTTCAGAGTCACCCCAGCGGGGGCAACCACCAGATCATCTCGCTTTGTCATCACCTGTGAGAAAAATATTACAAAGGTTTCTAAGAAAGTGTCTCTAGAGCATTTTGAGATGTAAATTTCAAGATCAAACCAATTTTTTGCATGCCCACCTCACTCAGTGGAAGGTCGTGGTCCTCCACCTTCAGAAAATCGATGTCTCTGGATGAGATGATGCCCACCAACTTGCCGCCCATTTTGCCGTTATCTGTGACAGGGATGCCACAGAACCCATGGCGTGCCTTGGCCTGGAAGACATCCCTTACTCGCTCGTTGGGGCTCATCACCACAGGATCTGTGATGAAGCCCTGCTCATATCGCTGGAGAAGGAAGGGGAGGAAGGAAATGAGGAGGGGGAAAAAACAGGATGGGGATGTGGAAAAATAAAGATTGAGCAAAAAAAAAAAAAAAGGAGCGGTGAAAGGAACATAAAGGAATCACTGCCTATACTCTATAAGCTGGGAAGCAGACAAATACACTGCTCTACACATGCACACAAAAAAGACACGAGTTAAGAAAGATGAAAATAAACATGCATAAAAAAGACAAGAGACAGACTGAACACAGAATCACTACCTTGACTTTGCGAACTTCATTAGCCTGGAACTCTGGAGTGCAGTTGTGGTGAATGAAGCCTATACCACCTGTTAGCTGCAAGAAGAGATAACACATGCGTGTGTGCCTGAGGATGGCCAGATGTGATGACAGAACAATAAATGCCTTTGGTTGTTATACTCACTGCCATAGCGATGGCCATGTTGGCTTCAGTGACAGTGTCCATAGGAGAGGAGACGAAGGGGGTCTTCATGGTGATTTGTTTGGTGAGCGCCGATGTCAGGTCCTACATACACAGAAACACTCAGTTTAACCTTTCAAGCCTCACACAGTGGGGTAAGCAGAGGTGGAAATATTTAACCAGTTTCAGTTTAATGGCTGTGACATTACAACGTCACATTTTTTTGGACATTAAAACACTTGACACTATGTATCAGTTTGTTACAACATACCAGCACAAAACATGTCATGTTTTTAGACATGTTTTTAGAGTGACACAGAGTTTTTAGACTGTGTGTGTTTAGATAGTTAAATATTTGGAGCGAAGAAAGGCAACTAAACAGATTTATGAATGGCACTGACATTTCTTTCAACTTACAGGACAATCATGTCGTCTGAGGTGTTTCACCGCCATCTGACTGTTTTCCAGCTGAGAGAAGTACTTCTACTTACAGCTATGCTTCAATAGTATATGTCAGTAGGACACAACATACTGTTTTTAATCTGAGTGACTGTGGAGTAAATTTAACATGTTCTCATGGTGACAGACAATATTTTTTTTAATCTTCTGATACAAACTATTTTTGACAAAGTGGACTAAATGCTCAGTTTCAATTAAAGCCACATGAGAGATGCAAGTGACTTTTATCCTTTTTGAAATACATTGTCCATTACTTACTTTTATTTTAATAGACATTTGTCCATAACTCTTGAATTATGCCCAAAAACCTGTTTTGTGGGATCATGTTGACCGTAGGCCTCCAAACTCTAACAGTCCTAGTAAATGCTTGCTCAGTGAAATGCAAGAGCAATGCATCAGTCACCCTAAAACTAAAAGAACATAAGGAATGCTTATACAGCATATCTCAACATGCTGAGCCACCTAAAATCACCATAGAAGAAATTCCTTCGTTACAACAGTCCAGTCCAAACATGGACACACCAAAACTAGCTGAAAAAAATAAAATAAAATAAATAGTTCAGCTACTGTTTAAATGTGCATTGTAAAAAGGATGCATATTAACCAAGTTACACATATATTTGGTCAGACTGTTGCTTTCTATGTCAATAACAAAAGGAAACTGCAGCTCTGACACAAATGTGGTTATGATGTTGCATGAACTAAGTCTAAGATGAACAAGACAGACTCCAAGAGCGCAAACCTCCACCAAGGCAGCTCAGTCTCTAGCCAGTATTTACTTTGGGACTAGAATTGTGTTTTCTATGTATTCATTTTTCTCCTTTGTTCTTTTTCAACGTACTGGAGTGTGTAGTACAGTAAAAACAAGTGCAAAGTGCATGCTTTTGGTTTTTGCACTGTTGAAACCCATTTTAATATACTTCACCTACTTTTGAGAATAATTGTGTTTTTATGTGGCTATAGTACATCTGTAACATTCATTGTACGGTTTGGTAAAATTTGTTTAACTGTTCAATAATAAAGAGCAAATTAAAAGCTTTAGATCATGAGTTTTTGCTTAAAAAAGAAAAATGTATTCAGGACTGCTGCACATGTATTCTAATTGTTTTGTATTAAAACAGTTATAACCTGTTATTGTACTCTACAAAAAAATGAATCACTGTACTCAAAAATATCCCAAGTCGACAAAATGTTGCCTGTCATTTTATGTAGCTCTAGACCTTCAGATCAATCTATTGACCTAGAAGGAGAAGTCAAAGGACAAATGTGACATAATTTAAATCTTTATAATGTACTTTCTATATGTTAAGAATACACACCACACTTGTAAGAATCATAGTTTCTAAGTTATAAGGCTTTTTGTCAATTTTCAACCAACAAATCATCAAGACAATGACTAAGCTAATAACATGACCCCACTCTACACCTCTGCTAAGAACTCATTCGATACTTCTACAAGTTATTGTGTTTACAGAGAGAAGGACAAAAAGTAGAAGCAATAAGATAAAAAGAAGTAGAAGTAACTTAACCACCTTAGAGAAATGGTCATTTCAATCAAACACACTATCAGATTTCCTGCCCCCCCAGGCGCCTTTAACCTTGTGAGCCACGGTGCTGTATGGGTTTATGCTGGTGCAGCCTTTGGTGACATTTCTCAGAGCACAACATTCAAGAGCAATAAACACAGGCGTTTCTCTGCTACAACCTTACTTGGTCTGGTATGACCAGCAGCTCATGAAGGCTAAAGTTAGTAAACATTAGATAGGTGTGCCCCCACCTCGGTTTGCCAGTTTTGTAGTTAGTTGGTATCCCCTGAACGTCACAGTGACAGCATTTAGAAAAAGTTACAGAGTCTCTTTAAAGTGAAAACAAACTGTGCAATTTATGGAAGCACTATGAGATAACATTAGAGATGGGAGGCACACAGCTCATAATCCTCACTCTCACCTCATATGCTCCCACCCTGAACATTATCCAGCTTGGATTAGTATAATACTACAACATCGGCTTTAACCAGATTTTGCATGTTGGCAATTATTCGCCTGTCGACTCAACTCACCACTTGATCAGCAGTGAAGTCAATGTAGCCTGGCAGAATCAGGAAGTCACTGGGGGAGAAACAAAAACAGTTAAGGTAAAAGAAAGTTTAGATCTTTTCAGCCTACAGTTCTGAAGCTTCCTTTGAGATGTCAAACACTTTAACCCCCGATGTCTGACTAAACTGGCTTCACTCCAAGAGTTAAAAGGAATAATACACTAATTGTAATTGTAAGTATTTTTTGTAAATAGTGAACATGACAGGTTAAATATTGAGCAGGTGATTTTTAAGCTCAGAAATAGTTATGGCATTTGAGAAAAGAACACATCTTATGCAACTGCAAACTGGACATAACATGAATTTCTTGGACGGGGATCGTCAGTGAGTGTCATGTTCACAAGACTGCATACATGGAGCAGAGTAGAGGCAAAGAGGCCCAGAAACAGACTAAGGGTATGAAAGCATGTTCATCCATGCGACCTGAGAAAATGTGTGTCATTAAGCCACAGCACTTTATTAAGCATGAACAGCATTTAAAATCGATTAAACCTGGGGTTCCAGTGGGTCAAAGGATTCGCTGATACAGCTTTCTTTTCTTACCCATTTAGAAAAAAAGAAGAAACACTAAAACACAATTTGTTTGCTTTCCTTTTATTTTGTTTGTAATATATAACAGTTTTGAAATCTTTAATTGCTTAAAAATTGTTTTAATTCATCATTGGATTTTGGATTGCTTGGTCACTGGTTGGTTGTCAGAAATAATTACATTCAGATTTTTTTCTTTTTTGGGGGGCAGAAAAGGCTGAAAAGTTTCAGAGTCATCTTGTGGATGATTTGATAATCAGTGAATCAGATTCTTAGTTTTCCCTGCTGAGTAAAAAGCAATTTCATTAAAGAATAAACAGTTTTGTTGTGCAGAGGACTACCGGGCCGACGTTCTAAATATAGCCAGGGTCCACAGAATCCAGCTTAACAACACAGGACTGCATGAGCCAGAGCCTAAATTTAGGGCAAGTGTGTGCACCGAAGGACTGTTCACCCCTCTAATTTCCAATAGGCTTCAACTCAGATTGGTCCAGTATTATTAGCTTTGAAGGGCACCAGTGATCCTTTGACGCACAATGCCCGATTTATGAAGTGAAAACAATTAAAATTTATAGAGACTTTCAAAACCTCACTGAACAATTTTGCTGGGATTTCCCTGCTAATACATACAGCTGCACAGTTACACAGAGGCAGTGGATTCACCGTGAAACGTTCAATCCTGCGTACAAGGCAGATTTTCAAAAGGCGCGAAATTTAAACAGCGAGTTCATATTTAAATGCCACTAGATTTGCTTGAAAACAAAACAAACAAAAATAAAACCATTAACAACGCAAAACACAGGCACACAAAAACAAATTCTTGTTCTTGAAACTGACTGCATTCTGGGAAATGTAGGATCCTCTCTTTTTTGAGGGGGCGCTATCCCCGTTGAGCTAAAAGTAAGCCCTAGCAATAATGCACCTATTACACGATAATAAATGCAACAATTAAGTAACACCCTGGTTTTCGCTTCATAATATTAGTAGAATGTCTTGAGAAACATGAACCACTTACGTACAAACTTAAGTAGCCCAACTTGGCCTGCTTACCAGGGATACAGGTATAGAGATAAGGTCCTTACTTGTAAGTGAGTCCGTCTCCTCCGTTGAACAGCTGCTGTCCCGTCAGCCCGTCATCGGGGACGTAACCGGTTTGCCCGCTGATCAGGTAGTCCGCCATGCTGTCCAAACAGCCTTCACCAGTCCTCTTATCAGCCTTCGACTGTAAATAAATCACCCTAACAAGCTGCCGAGGTGCGCATACAGAAACACAAAAACACTCTCTCAAGCCGCACCGGCTCAGACACCGACAACTTTCCTCTTTCGCGCCGCGAGCTGCTCTCCTCCTCGTTCAGTTACCCTTCAGTGCGCCCTCTTAGCAGCCTGAGCATGTGCTAATGAAAAGAAGAGGACCAGAAAACGGCACCGTGAGAGATATTCGCTGCTTTTTCGAACCTCTTCAACCTCAACAGACAAGTGCTCATGTTCTCTCTGCAGCTAACTCCAGCACGTGCATCACTCCCGTCTGACAGCGTTTCCGACACTGCCGTCACATCCGGAAGACCCGCCCCCTCATATATATTATTTCATTGCTGAAGAATTTAATGAAGCTCCTCTTCAGTATTCATACAAAGTTGTATTTACTCTCATACTGGTGACTTGTACACCCTTTGAAGATAACACACAGATTTCTGACATTTTTAGGGCTCCAATGCTGCTTAAATCCAGCTGCACTGATTTCTGTTGTGTTTCTAGTTTGTTGCCTACAGGGTACACTGGGAGATGAAACATAGTATGGCAAGGTTATCCCAACAGAAAATAATTATTTCAATTCATATTATTTAAATGTAATGGTGTCTAACAAGGCTGGAGTTTACAAGTTAACGAGTGACACATTAAATGGGGTAGCGTCTTTCACAACCTTTTTTTTTTTCCCGAAGGTGTTCAAACCAAAAGAGTCCCCAGGTATTCTGAGCACCTTTTAAAAGTTCCAGGTGGCAACAAGAGTTGCTAAGGAAGGACATGTTAAAATAAATGCTTAGACTACAAGTTGTAACCTATGGTGGTTACATATTTTAAATTATTACAATAGTAACAAAATGTATTCTTTAATCTGGTAAGTTTATTCGTCAAGTTGACAGCTCATACAACGAGCTTGCTGGTCAGTTAGTAGTCTATAAATGACTGGGGTTTTAAAATTAACTTGATCTCCAAATCTTCTTATCTTACTGTAAGCTGCACTGGTATAGTGGACAAAATTGATGAATTTCATAAAGCTAAATGAATCTCAGCTAATGTGAGCTCAATCATCAGCCCCACACACTGTTGTAAAGTGAAAAATGTGCCTGCTCCAAGTAAACACTTGAGGGTGCCCTCTTCCTCCTATACAAGCTATGTTACTATGTAAATATGAAACCAGGACACATGCAAGGTCAAGCAGAGCAGTGGGGCAGTGGATATCATCTTTGCCCACTACTACACTTATCTATTTTAGGCTGTAGCAGACGCTGTGGGCCTTGCACTTAACGTGCCAATCTGATAATGTCAGAGTAGGGTTTCTGCACTGTGTCAACAATGCAGTGCCCGAAAAATTATAGTGATTGTGAATATATCATTTTAATCCTGTTTATATGTATATTTATTAACAAAACGTGTATGTCTTCATTGAAAGACTCTTTCAAAACATTTTTTAATTGTCAAGTTTTATGTATCAGGACAAAAATAAAATCGTTTGAGTCAAATACAACTTCAGCAGTGTGTGAAAGAGTGCATGCTAGGATTCAGTAGCTCATAGAAGCTTTGGCAGCCATAAACTTGAAGCATTCATTCTCTTTATGGGTTTATTAGTCTCTCTCACATTGTTGTGGAGGAATTTTGGCCTACTTTTTTTTTTTTTACAGAGTTGATTCAGTTCATTGAGAGTTGGTAGCATTAGTTTATGCATAGCTCTCTGTAGGTCCAGCTACAGCAGTGCAGTCATGAGGTTTCGGATGAGGCACCTTGATTATTTTGTCAGTCAGTCTGTTGTAGATTAGCTGCTGTGCTTGTGATCAGTCATGTTACAAGATCCTGCTACAGTCTCAGCTGAAGCTTTTGTTTAGCAGCATTATTTGTTTTTGTGTTAATGGACTGAATGTTTGCTGCACTCTGTATTCTCACTGATGTGTGTCTAACCTCACATCCTACACTAGAATACTTTGGTATACAGAGGAGGCAATTGTTGACTCAATGACTGCAAGGTGTCCATGTCCTGGGGACGCCAAACTCCTTCTTACCTTCTGTATTTTTCCTAATAATTAGAAGATTAGTTTACCTGAGGTTGCATTTATCAGTTTGTTTTTTAAATATACCAATACAGAAAACCTTTGAACCTTAAAAAGGTTTTTGTTGTTTTATTACCGGTATGACTGTGTTGGAAACAAAAATAATGACACACTGCAGGTGTAGGAATGACCTCTGGTAAATGGACTTGTTCTTATATAGCGCTTTTCTACTCTCTGAGAGCACTCAAAGTGCTTCATACAACACGCCTCATGCACCCGTTCATCAGCATTGTTTTTTGTATGCCTAAGTGCTTTCTATCTAACATTCTCACACACATTGATACTCTGACGGATGCATCAGAGAGCAACTTAGGGTTAGGATCTTGCCCAAGATATTTGATATGAAGACTGGAGCAGCTAGGGATTGAACCACCATTAGTCGATCAAAACTTCCTGTTAGCAGATTATCCTCTACCTTCAGAGTTACAGCCATCCCCTGCTGTGTATGAGACTCCTCTCATTCACATTGACAGCACAGTGTGAGGGAAAAAACATTTAGATCTTAAGTCCTATATAGATCAATCATGTCACTGAAATCACTGGCAGGTGAGGTAACATTACCTGGTTGCTGTGTCACCCCAGGGTGAGATATAATAGGCAGCAAGTGACTAGGAGGTTCCTACTGTTTTGGAAGCAGGTACTAAAACATTCCAGGCCCACAGGAGTGCTACTGTAACACAAATAACCTTGATGATAGCTATGAGGTAATAAGGTCACTGGATTGGATTCATCGAACTGTTGACACGTACCCCACACATCAACATTGTGGCTGACCACAAACAAGTCTTGCTTGCAGTGTACACCCTGATGGCAGTTGCCTTCTTCCAGTAAGACACCATGTGCTGAAAGTGTCTATAAAAACAAAGTGTATTTATCCATTTCAGATGTTTTATTTGTTTGTTTTTAGAAATCAGAGTGCAACTTCTTGTTAAGGATGGATCATTAACTCAATCATATTTTCTTCTTTATCCATCTTCTTCCGCTTTATCTGGGGCCGGGTCACGGGGACAGCAGCCTAAGCAGAGAAGCCCAGACCTCCCTCTCCCAAGCCACCTCCTCCAGGCCAGCCAAGAGATATAATCTCTCCAGCGAGTCCTGGGTCTGCCCCGGGGCCTCCTCCCGGTGGGACATGCCCGGAACACCTCACCCAGGAGGTGCCCAGGAGGTATCCTTGTCAGATGCCCGAACCACCTCAGCTGGCTCCTTTTCGATGTGGAGGAGCAGCGGCTCTACTCTGAGCCCCTCCCGGATGGCCGATCGTCTCACCCTATATCTCTAAGGGAGGGGCCAGCCACCCTTCGGAGGAAGCTCATTTCCACCGCTTGTATCCGTGATCTCGCTCTTTCGGTCACTACCCACAGCTCGTGGCCATAGGTGAGGGTAGGGACATAGATCGACCGGTAAATTGAGAGCTGCGCTTTTACACTCAGCTCCCTCTTCACCACGATGGACCGGTGCAGCGTCCGCATCAGCGCCGCATCACTCTCCTTTCATTTAGTAAAAAACTAAAATAATTAAAATTCCTTACAATAAAAAAAAAAACACAACAAAACAAAACAACTGAATAAATGTGGAAAAACTGACTTGATTTTTTGTCCTTTAAACCTTTAAGTGAAATTCTGTGTGAAGTGGTGTTTGTAATTAACACACAAGAGACAGGATCCGGTTTAAAAACTCTCTCAGTAACTCTATTTCTGTATTAATGTACAACCGTTGAAAATTACAGCTTTTTTTGGTATTTTCTTTTTTTTCAATTTTTTTTTTAAAACAATCTATCTATGAAGAGCCATTTTCCAGAAGTGAACAATGTCAGCAGGGAAAGGAAAAAGAGAAAATGAGGGCAAAATAAAGTATAGGGGGATGATGTAAAAGAAAGAGGAGAGCATGAGATGGGACGAGGAGAAAAATTAACAGTTTGTTTTCTGCAGCGGAGTGTTTGAGCATGAGTGTGTGGGCGTGTGCATGCCATGTCAGTGGGAGGTGCTGTAGTGTGTGTAAATGGCAGAGATTACACTCACAGCTTCATAACAACTTCATGATCTGATCAGCGGAGGTGCTAATGCTAGATTTGCAATAGAAAGGGATCACGCCGGCTTGGATCTAGATTAGCTGAGCACAACTGAGCGACAGCATCAGAATGCGGAGACCAGAACGGGACCGATTCGGTAGTTTTACTTCGGCCATAACGACTCTTTGCTGGCAGCGGTTGCTGGAGCAAAAGACAAAACAGTGGAGGGAAGGTGTGTTTACTTTAAAAAACGAGTGACTGAATCTAAAGAAGTGAATGTTCAAACAAGTGTTTGTTAAAGAAATGAAACCTTTCCTCCAGCATGATGCAGGTTCTTGCATCATATGAGAGGGCTGTGGCACCCATCATTGAAGATATCACTCTCCAACAGTGAGAAGATGATGCACTACAAACCCCAACAACAGAACTACTACACTCAATGTTTTCTTCCCCCAAAAAATATCTGGAGAGGAAACTAAATTTCAGCTTCGCATGTGCAACTACCATCAAGTGGAATCTAGCCTTTATGGTCGCTGTAACACCACCCATCTGCACCTTCTGCTTAAAGAAAAAAATAAATAAAAGAAACAAAATCCTCTTCCCAGCTTTTCCTCATCTCTATCAGAACACAAGCTTCTCCATTCACGGCAGTTTGACTAGAGATTATGCCACAAAAGGTCACCAGCAAGTTTTTGCAAAAAGCAGCTCTGCTCTCTTTTCATAAGGCTTCACTCTGCTTTCAGGTGCTGGTGCCAGTGTCTCGATGTTTACTGACAAATAAAAAGCAAAGCAGCTGGCAGAAGACCTCTGAGCTTTGACCTACATGATCAGATCTGAAATGCTGAAACCAGTGTAACCGCGGTAAATGTGATGCTTTGAGGCAAAAACCTGTAAACGGGGTGGGGATGATGAAGAGGTACGGCTGATACAATCGTGCCACTCTGTGGCCCTGCAGCCTTATGGAAGTGAGGGGGAGGGAAAGATGGAAGCAAACAAGTGAGTGCAGTGAAGCAAAAGGAGGGAGGGGGTAAAGTATGACTGCACCGAGGCGTGGTCATGGAAGGAAGTAAAGGTTAGGAGGCAGGGAAGGAAGAAAGTAAAGAGGGAGATGCTGGTGCTTTGCAGTCGCGATGGAGCTTCAGGTGTCGTGGAAATCCTTCAGCAGCGTGCGTCGCCTCTGCTCAGCAATGTGCATCTGATTTTCCAGATCCT